GTGCGCCTCAGTCACCCCGCTGCGCCCTGCAAGTATTTGGAACCGACAAGGATTTCCTTTCCGATGGTACAGGCCGTTTCAAGCTGCTTGCATCATGTCAGCATCCTAAAGCAAGGATGCAGGATTCCGTCACTAGTCAAGGCTTTCATCGGCAGATTCCCCCAGAATCTAGATAGTTGACGATGTCATAAAGTTCTCCACCTCGCCCACAACGTTGCAACAAAGTGCGCAGAACAACCTCAGAAACCTGCTCGGCATGCGAGATATGTCAACCGAAGTCTCCACTCAGCATATCCACCGTTTGGACTCATTCAAATTCTGGCGCAACAACTACTCCAGCACGTCGCCCCACTTTGACCAACCCTGCGGAAGCTCACAATCTCCCAAACTCTGCCCTCATTTCCCAATCCCTGAACACACTGCAGGCCTGGTTCCATGCAGCAAGTTTCGATCAATCCATCGCTGACATCTTTAAAGCTCCAAGACCCCACAATACTCAAACCTCCCTGTGTGTGCGTGCTCTTCGATTCCAGGCTGCATCTTATGCGAGGCTAGGTACGTGGGTGGTTCTCAAAATTATGGGCCCCTCTTGGTCATGGGTTAAATATTTAAGGATACCAAAATGGGACCCTAATTTTGGGAACTACCCTCGGCCCTAAATCCTAAACCCTAACTACCCAGAGCCCTACACCCTACACCGCATTCTCCCGATAAACTCCTAAAATCTGCCCAAGCGAGGCACTCTGTTCTCTCGCACGAGCTCCTGAGTTAGGGGGCCTTAACAAATACCAGGGTTATGGGGTTTAGGGTTCAGGGTTTAGGGTTTAGGGTTTATGGAGGGCGGTGGTTGTATACGGATTATATAGGGACCATAGTGTTGGTAGTTATTTAGGCCCCCTCCACTACTCGTAGAGATAGAAGGCGCAATGGATTTCCAAACGTTATTCGTGTCTTGGGAGGTCCTAACAAGAAGCCTACTTCATGCAGAATGCAACGTGAACCTGTCTGCCAATTTCGACTGAGAGAGCGGACTATCCTCCGGTTCACGCAAGACCTTTTTTGGACCTTCAGTGGGCCTTCTCGCAGCCTGTCTTGAACTCTCCCTTGAACCCCGCATTGTAATCCCACTTGAACTGGTTGCAATATTGCAGGAATTCTGAAGATGCACAGGCTACGTTCCACATGGGACCTTCTGATCCCTGCAGGCAGTATTACTTGGAGTAAAGTTGCCGACATCCTCTAAGTGCCTGTAATGGGGCTACAAGTTCTCCCAATCCGACTTGGCAGACAGGTCCCCGTTTTTCCCTCGCAAGTTATGGCACAGAGGTGCACGCAAACTTGAAAACTCTGTCAGTTTCAGCAACCTTGTATATAATTGTATAATCCATCCTCACGCAACCCCCCCCTCCAAAAGGGGTCTAAGGATACCCGCTAACGTTGTACTCCCACCCCTAATATTATAGAATGTATTCCCAGTATATATGGTAGTATATCATAATGGGAATGTTTGAATAAAATTCTCATAATGATAACTGATAGTAATAGTAATAGTAGTAGTAATAGTAATAGTATATAGCCTGTTTTGAGAGACCTCCACATCCTCAAGCTAAAAGACCCGAGGTTCGGTGTTTGGCGAAGAGAGCCTCTTGGTGAGGCGTCTGCACCTCCTGGGACTTGGCCAAGAATCCCAAGCAATATTGGAATTATTACTCTTACTACGTTCGTTATGTCTAGTAATATTACGATTATTATTGCTAATAGATATATATATATATATACATATATATATATAATGTCTTCCCATTGTGGTATACTATCATATATAGTGGGAATACATACATGAGGGGGTGGGGGGTTTTGATACGAGCGGGAGGAGACTATGCAGGGGCTGTGGGGATTGAATTGCGTAGAAAGGTCATGATGCGCAGGAATCTAAAAATTCCCTGTTCGTGCTTAAACTCTACCTAAATCTACACCCTGCCCCCCTCCCATTTTGTAGGGTACCTAATTTGGTCCTAGAAGAGCAGAAGATACAGACATAGGTACCCCAAAAAGGGGTATAGGGGTCTTGTAGGTATTGAAGCCTCAAGTTCCTTCGGTTTTGCGGGTGTTGCGTTTGCCCCGGCCCAAACAAGGCTCTAGTACGGATGTAATAAGCCGCTGGCCCTCTGTGTCGTCCTTTTTGAGGGAGGGGTCAAAGCCCCTAGAAGACTGTTGTAAGATTTGAAGGTTTAGGGCCCGGGGCTTCAAGGTTTACAGGCTTCTTGGTTCCAAGGTTGTGCAGTTGAAGCCTGGGGCCACGATTACGACATCGCAAGCAAAGGTTGAGGTACCAAAAGCTTGGGCCGCAAGGCGCACCCCCCTCCCCCCCCAAAAAAAAGCTCGAGTAAACATGTACGGTGTTGGACCCTAAACTCAAGTTTCGTGTGATTAGATCCGACCTGGTGTCTCGATCAACCCTGATTTGCTGCACCAAGCCCCGACCATCCCGACTCCAAAGAAGGGTTCAGGGGGCCCAAGTCCAAGGCATCTGCTTCAAGAATCGCAACAAGAAGCCAAAACCTCTGATTCTCCCGCACTTGCCCTCGAAGTGTTTCTACCAAAGCACGAGCCTTCTATGAAGCCATCGGAGCCTGAATTATCCACGAGCAGATCATGGAGAAACTGCGCTGAAACTGTTTGAAACCATATAACTCTTGTTCATATAGTAGTTTCCATTTTCTTTTCCATTATCCCAATGTATGACCCCAATATATACCCTATAATCCCTATATAACCCGGTATAGTAGTTTCCATTTTCCCTTATCCCAATATATAACCCCAAAATAAATAGTAATACCATGGCCTCGGAGGATTCCTTCTGCCCAGGCACTGGAGCCGGGCTTCCCGCCGCCCCGGCCAGTGACCAGGCAACAAGGAGACGGGCGAAAGCAGCCATGGCCATGAAGAGGAATCTCTCAGGAACAAGTAGCAATGGTTTCAGGGAAATCTCCTGGCTGCTTCTGGTTTGGCTTGGACTCTTGATGCTTCAAACCCTAAACCCCAAAACCCTAAAACCCGAAACCCTGAACCCTAAACCCTAAAAGAGGTTCAGACGTAGGATTAATGAAGGTTTGGATTGCCGGGGCCCAAGCAGCCCAGCTTCGGCAACCTTGACCCCTTCTACCTCAAGCCTTCAAGCTGCAGGACTCCACTGTAGATATACAAGTATATATAATGTAGAATAACAATATATAATGACAATGATAATAGTAATTATGTTTAATATTCCGGGTTTAGGGTTTAGGGTGTGTATATATTTTTACCATTATTATTAGTATTTTCGATTATATATGATATGCCAGTTCTTCAACCCTCCGAACACTGCCACTGAACCACCATACCAAAAAAAGTTACTGTTGAGGCACACGTGCCGCCGAATACCAAGCCCGAGTACCTGGACATACTAAGGCCCTCCGCTCAGGCCAATCCCATAGACGGCTTCCCTTCAGGGCATTTTATGCTTCTTGGGCATGTCATCTGGCTGGGATGCGTTCAGGAGTCCAAAGAAGCATTCAGGAGTTGGGGCCCAAGGGATTCAAGTTCCAGGGCTCAGGCTCTAGGCCCAAGTCCTAGCAGGTGCAATGTCCCTAAACCTGCTCGTGCGTTTTTGTTTCGTGATACTGAAGAGTCCATCACAGGACAAGGGGGCGTAAGCAGCCAAGGAATACTCATAAATGAGGGTATTCATAAATGAGGGTGTCATGTGCAACACAAACCCTCCCAGCTGTATCCTGTGCAACAGCTCTGCCCATCTAAATGTCACCGGTACGGCCCACGATAGATCATGGGAAAATGGTATCGACCGCTACAAGCCCGCAAGATCAAGGCGTTGGGAGTTTGAGATAACCCCGTTACGGAGTTTAGACCCCAAACCCTGAACTCCATATAATCCTACATATAATCCCTTCATGGAGTTTGGACTATATTATCCCCTATATAACCTCCTTCAAGGAGTCTACTTGGAGGGTCATTGGGACTTAGTAGCTAGGTTAAGAATGGGGACAACGAGGGTCACTGCATGGGTTATAGTGGTTATCAACCTACTTGCTAGATCCTCCTGACCCTCCAAGTAGACTATAGCTCCTGTGGCAAATGGCTTTTTGATTCTGGATTGAGCACCTGCGTTACTCGCAGCCACGGAGGCATTCTGCCGCATCTCCTACGCCGCTCCGTAGCTCAAGCTGTGTGGAAGAGGGGGAATATTATCAATAACAATAATAAGAAGAAGAACAATATTATGAATAAAACGATTAGTGTTAGCATTCATACCATATTATTATTACTATTGAACTACCATTAGTATTCATGTTATCAAAAATTTGGCTATTATGTTTGAAAATTTCTATTTATACTACTATGGACTCAGGGTTTGGGGTTGCGGTGTGGGCTTTAGGGTGAAGGGGTTTGGGCTTTGCGGAGAGGAGCTTCAAAAGCCGCATCGGGGTGCGTTGTACAGAATTGTCATCCTACCTTGAGCTTGAACTGTAGTCTGCCTTAATTAAGTAAATAGAATAAAATAGAATATGGCTTTGGGTATATTATGATATAAGATCCCCATAAGGGGGACTAGAAATCATGGTAAATCATATGGCGCGGCCACGCTCCTAAGGGAGCTAAAGGTCTGGGACAGCTCTGCGTAGCTCTCACTAAGTGTGTCTAAGGTGTTGATCTCTAGTCGCGCAGGCACACATAAGAAGGTAATCCTGACGTCATGAGCACTCCTCAATTACTGTCAGGTCTTTGCAGTCTAAAGCTCGGGCTAGAAGTGACATTTTAAGTCGCTTGCTCCGCGAAGAAGCTTCAGTCTCAGACCCGTTCCTGAAGCTTCTGATTCAAATATTCAGAACCTCCCATTCAGAGCTCCGGCTCTGGGCCTTCTATCGTTTCCAGTATTGCCCTGACCATTTTGACGCACGATCATAGTGAACAGTGAGAGTGACAGAAGCATTGTCCTGGCTTTAGGCTTCGACCTTTTTTGCTTCCGCGGCATCCTGGTCCACCTGGGCAGTTTGGGCTACAGGCCGCGCCCTACACACGATATCCGAAAATCAACCTAAGCTGCTTGGTGCGAAAGCATAGTGATTACACGTGAGCTATAGACTAAACTCCTAGTATCCCCCTCAATAACCCCCAATAATACTCCCCTATATAAGACCTGTATAACACGCTGTAAGGAGTTTAGACTATGGCTCATGTGAGCATGTTCCGTGAGTCACGCAACAGACCCAAGGCAGCTTTCTAGAATCTGTTGTGCAACTATAGTCCCCCTTAAGTAGATAGAATATGGCTTTGGGTATAGTAGGGTTTAGGATTTAAGGCTTAGGGTTTAGGGTTTAGAGTTTAGGGTTTAGGGTTTATACTAAGATCCCCATATACCCCATATTCTATCTACTTAAGGGGGACTATAGACTGGCTCACTAGCAAGCTACGTCAAGCCAGCTATTGATTGCTAGAGCCACGTCAACTTGAAAAAGACACAGTGGATTGCTGTTAGGTACTTAAGTTAAGTAACTGGAACAGGAAACCCTATTATTTACTATATACCCATATGATAGCAACTTAGACCCTAAACCCCAAATCCTATACATGCCCACATTAGGGCAACTTAGTTTAAGTTCCTTACCAGCAACCCAGAACACAGGAGCTCCAGGCAGCATGGTGCAAGCAGGGATGATGTGGGTGGCGCTTTTTTTGGGCTTCCCGCAGGGCGTTTGGTGCCAAGCGCACTCAAGGTGACCCGCGCTGTTGGTTCTGGCTAGATTCTTGTCAAGATTTGGTCTACAAATGAGACCTTGCAGCCGCCAACTAAAGCAGGCCCTGACAAAAGGCCAAGGCTGAGATAGGCTAAGCTGCTAATTCTCCCTTAGAAGGGTCCTAACAGCCTACACAACGATCTGGGTCTCGGCACGGCCGCGGGAGGCCTGAGCGCAGTGCGAGTGGACAAGGTCCACGAGCTGCGCCGTCGACTTCCCGAGGAAGCCCTTGCCCTCGCACATATTCAGGAGCACCTGCGCGAACTTCATGTTGAAGCCATTCCAGCCGCCTGCAGAGTTGTGGAACTCGGAGGCCGGGCAGTGCTCGTGCACTGCATGCGCAAGGTCGTGGTGGCAGTCCATGTCTGACATCTTCATGCGGTCGCTGAAGAATTTCTTCTCGCACTGGATCAGGTCCTCTGGGTTCACATCCGCGCATGCAGCAGTAGCCAGGCCGGCAAAGAGAGCCTCATCGGCCTCCCTGTCCTTCATAACACCGACCAAACGCTTCCATGCCTTCTGCTTGGACTCCTCGTCCGCTGCACGCGTCCACGCCCACATCGCCTGAGTGAGGTAGATGTCACGCGCGTCCACAGCACCCTGCGTTGCATCGGGCGTGGTCGCAGAGAGGCTGCCTGCTGCTGCAGCCATTGTCTCAACGCTGCCAATGGTCTCATCCACAAACGACTTGTCACCGAAACTGCACACATGGCTCTTGTTAGTCAATTTTGTCACTTTGTCGATTTGGCTCTGGAAGGTTTCAGAAGAGTACTTTCCAAGATCATCATCCTGCATCCAGTTCACGGAGAACAAGTCACCCAGGCAGGATCCTACGTTCTTGCCCTTCACCATGGCATCGTCACCGCAGTAAGTTCCCCACGAGGATTCGTCCGCGTTCGAAGCAGTTACGGCCAGGATCTTGCTGTCTTCCTGGAGGTCCGGGAACATGGAGCCGCTCTCGCAGGCTTCCATGTAGAACACCATCTGCTTGAACATGTGCTTGCTCTGCATGGTCTTGAGCGTCTGAGACAGCTGCTTCACCGTGAACACCGGGCCGTTGGGGAAGGCAATGATGCCCGGGCCACCATGGTCAACAAAATTCACGAAAACGGTGTCGCTTGGGCCACTCTTGAGGACCTTGCCCTTAGCTTTCTTGGCATCACCAGTCAGAACCTGCTGGAACAGATCTCCGGTCACGATGTCTCCGGAGTAGTCCACCTTGCAGCCCTTGTAGACATCAGGTGGGTTCTCGCCCGGCTTGTTGAACAGCTGCCCAGGGAAAGGATTCTCGGAGCTGTTCGCCACATCGTCCTGCATCATCAAAATGATGTTCTCCGCCGGCACGCCACTCTGCACCATCAAGTGGTACGCATGGCAGGCATCTGCTTGGTGGCGGTAGTTCATGAAGCCTGATGACCCTGCTGCAATGACGGCATACTTCTCAGCAGCTGCCACAGGCGCCAAAATCGCAACGAGAGCTGCACGCAAAGCCATGGTCCCCTACAAGCTTCCTAGGACTGTGGGCACGTACCTCGGGCCAAACTTCCAGCAAGACAAAGATCTCTCCGTCGTGTGGATTCAAGAACTTACGATTGGGCCCGAAGCTTCTGCGGCCCGCTATGGGCGGCTGGGCGAATACACAACCAGGAGCTTCTGAGTTTGCAGCCTCATGCGTGAACTTGAAGATGCCAGCAGCAGCGACTCCACCAACAAGCTCCAGGATGGTGTAGATGAGAGCCTTGCAGACAAGAAGGGGCTGCAGCAGCAGGGAGGTAGCTGTAGAAGTGCAAGGCTGCCAGGAAACACAAAAACAAAAACACATGCAGTGTCGGCGGTGGCTCTGGCAGTGGCGTATGTGGCGCTCGTGGTGATGGCGGTTGTAGCGGCGCATGTTGTAGCAGTAGCGGTTGTAGTGGCAGTGCCCGTGGTTGTGATCGTGGTCGAGGCGGTGGCGGTGGGGACGGCGGTGGCTGTGGGGGTGGTGGTGGTGGGCGGCGGCGTCGTCGGAGGTGGTGGTGGTAGCAGAAGCGGCGGCGGTAGCAGTGGTGATGCTTGTGGCGGTGGGGACAGTGGCGACGGTGGCGATGGTGACAGCACTGCTGCTACGACCACTACTACAACTGCTACCCCTTTTTCTGCTGCTTCTCTCTCTTGAACGTCCAGAATAGGCAGTAAATCAGCAGCACCAAACATGATGATAAGGACATAAACATGTACATAGGTGATAGATATATATATATATGAATATATATGTATATATGCACACCTATACATATGTACACATATATCTATGTGGTGCATATATATATATACATGTGTTCAAGATGCAGTTGCAGTGACCATCATGGAAGCTCGCACAAACCACGCTAATACTGTGTTGGTTGTCTCATTTGTCATGTGATGAACATGGGCATCAGTGCATGCAGGAAGCAAAGACATGTGTTTGGCGCCTCCAAAGTCTAGAAGCAACCCACGTCTTGCAGTCCGTTTCCTCAGACGTGTCACGTTGCAACAAATGGGCCTTGAAGAAGAGGCCGCCGTTGAGGACGTTGGCCGCGGCAATACCAAACCTTGCAATTGAATAGCGTCAAATTTAGGTCTCATGCTCTTGTCGGCAGACTTTCGCAAAGGTTTGCGTGTGGATGATCACACGTACCTATCTTTTCCAAATCATGCGCATGGCTTTTCAAAACTAAAGCGCGGGCATGTAAGTGCACACGGCTTAGGGCTTCGAGCTTGGCTTAAGCTTTAGCTTCAGGGTATGCTCAAGGCCTGTTAATGAGAGATGGTGAAAGCTATCATTCAAGCTACCTTGATGCACAGTTACATAATTGCTGACGTCTTGCCAGACTCATCAACACAGTAACTGCAAAATCTTCAAATACCAATTTGCTGTGTATTTTGAAGAGGGTACAAGTACCTCTCACCCTGAAGCTTTTACAGAGCTTCCTTCTGCAAGGCTCCTCTTCCGCAGTTTATAGCATGCGGTCATGAGAAGCTGGCTTAAATTTTGACAAGGGCATGTCTCAAAACTTGGAGATATGTAGGTTCATAAGGGGGTCCTTCTGAAGATGATTTCGGCACCGTGTTGAGAAACTCGCCAGCCTCCCTTGAATTACACCGCCCTGCCAAATTTCCGCGTCCCTATATGAGGCACCTTGCTTTTGGCAAACTCTCGAGCACCTTGCTGCCCCAGCTACGACACGGCAGGATTCAGGGAGCCACCAGAGATGCCACCGATGGCAAAGCCGCCCACAGTCACGCAGGAGCCTTAAGCCCAGCGAGTCTGTCTAGAGACTACGTAAGGAAGGTGTAAATGTAACAAAGGAATGGAGTAGGGATACTAGGTAGTACGCAGTTCTTGGGCTTAGGGTCTAAATTGTACGGTTGATGGTTTCGGGGTTTCAGAGCTGGGTGTAGGATTTTGCGGCTTACATATCGGGATTACGTGAGGAATTCAAACAATTTGCGTATCTTTTTAAAGAGTTCTATAGAAGGGGACAATGCAGGCATGGGCTACACAAGGATTAGGTGAGGCGATCTTGCTGGCCTTTTAAGGCTTTAGAGAGTTACATCAGCTACAATCAATATATATTTAATGGGCATGGGTTCCTTATTAGGGACTATGTTAAGGACTATGCTAAACTACAAGAAGGACCCCTATGTCCACTGTTAAGGGACCCTTAATAAGGCCAATGTTGACTGTAGCTCACATAAGGATTCAACAAACTTCTGGAACCATGGGGTGTCAGAAAGCTTCTGAAAGCTATTGGCCCGTTTCGGGACTTCATTTCCATAGGCTATCCTAAGCCCTAAACCGCCACCGCCACCGCAACAACCTCCGCCACCACCACCACCACGAAGGTGAAGGGAAGAAGAGTCAGCACCAGGGAAGAATAGTTGGCAAAAGCCATAACCCAGACCCCCAAAAGGATCTAAAAATTAGATCCCCTAGAACCATAGGGGAAATTATATAAGGATTATATAATGGTTATAATGGGTCTACATAGGGGATCTATTGATCCTCCCAGGGATCTGGGAATGGTAGTCACATGCTGGTGAGCGCTAAGAGTCCAATCACCAGGCCGAAGAGGTGCGAGGCCTCACATCTCTGACATAGAAAAGATGGGAGCGTCCCTGAGGCACTGTGCTCATGTAAGGGTACTTGCGGGTGTCCTTCGTTTTGGATTCAGGAAACCTGGGTCACGGAAGCTTTGCCTCTTCTGCGGTGGCTAGTTGACTGCAACTCTGTCCCAACTGGTCTCAATAAGTACTGCAGGGGCACTCTTACTTCATTATGGCAACTATTCCAGCAAAGCCAAGCTGCCTACTTGGGCTCCTAAGTACATGCTAAACTTCTGACGAGGGCTCATGTGGGCCCCATTTTTGTGAACCTGCCTTGGTGGTCTCAGACACCGCCACTGCCAGCACCACATAGGCCAGGACAAAGGTGAAGACGACCTGGAGGCCAGGTCAACACAAGGCTTTAGGGTTTAGGGTTTAGGGGTTGAGGGGTGTTGGGTGGTCATGAGGGTATGACACATTACGACCTTTGCAAATTGGGGAAGGCGTTGAAGGGGTGTCCCACTTTGAGATATCATCAAGCTCTCCACCCGTCAAAGAGGTTGCTGCGATGACTTCCCCTTTCTCTCTGCTTCACCGTGCCCATCTTCCAAGAATGCCTGCAAGTTTTCAGTCATTCTCCGCATGAGATGGACCATCTTCCCTAATAGGAAAGATCATCTTTCCTCCTCCCCTTTTGTAGGCTTTCCTTGCAAAACGCCAGAAATAATCACTCCCTCAAAAAGTTCTCCCTGCAGCCCAATTTGGTACCAAAGTCCCAGAATCCTCTTCCTTGACTACCAACCCGAAGATCAATTGACCGAATTGCAAACCAACTTACAGAACAGGAAACCTAAGGGAAACCTTCAGGGCGGTAGGAGTAAGCGGAACCAAAAAAACTCGAAACCTCCACGCCCCTTGAGCCCTACTTGCAGGCTCAGGAGACTTTAGTCCCCTGAGCCTTCAAGCACACCCGCAAAGCCCATGTCCCTTTCTACCTCCGCCACGGACACAGCCGCCCAAGTGCTGTTTCCCACGGGCCCCAGGCCGAAGGTCTTGCCTTTGACAGGGGAGGAAACCAGACAGAGTAACATTAGGGTTCCTATTGGGGTTATACTGGGATAATGGACAATAAAGTGGAAACTGAGCTTTTTTTAGCACAAACCTGCACGCTCTTTCTGTGCAAGCAGTCTGCTTCTAGGGGGCCAATGCGTATGGGCCGTCAGGGATACACATCTAGAAGCCAGACAATTTAGGGCTTAGGGTTTAGGGTTTAGGTTTCCCACAAATGAGGACCCTATGAATATCACATGATGATTACTGGGTCCTTACTTTGGGGGTTGGGTTACCAAACTCCCCTTGATACAAGTAGTCCAATGTTACTGTGGCTATTCATATAATGATGGTCAACCAACACTGATTGCTGGCACCGGGGTTGAGGACTGTGGCGGTTGGGCATTAAAACTCGAACGCCCCGAAGCTCCTGCTTGCAGATTGCAAGGATCCCAAGATGGGGGCCAGTAGTGTGATATGCTTAGCCAGGATCAGCTAGGCTTTCGTCAGAAACATCTGAGTAGCTAACACGTTCAAGTTTTTTGGAACTTTTGGAGCTATTAGAAACACGAGCTATAGGGAGGCAGAGAAACATCATCTCTCTCTTGGATTCGGGACCTCGGCGTCTACCACGACTTTCAGCTCCCGGTAGCTGACAACAGGAGTCCGAAATGTATGAGTGCTTGATGGTAACGGCTTGTTGTCTGGATTCAGACCCACACCGAGGAAAAGGCGTGAGTGATTTTAAAGCAGTCGGGGAAGGATTGAAGCCCCACATGGGTGGATTCTAGCCCTGCTCAATTGTACTGCATGATCTTTATTAAGTTATCTATCCATGTCATGCTTGTCATGCTTTGCATACAGGCCGCCCTGGTAGATGAAGGCGTAGGTGAAGGCTGCCGCGATACCACCAGCCACCTGCATTCAGGCAAATGAAGCCGCACATGAATCTTTCTTTCCAGTGTGCTTAGGGGCCGGAACTTTGCATGTACTTGCTGCAGACTTCTTTTCTGCGGGTCCAGTTACATCACTGTTGGCATAGTTTTGGAAACATGGGGAGGGGGCCGGGGCCTGAAGCTTTCGAAGCTCCCTGCAACATAGCAGGAAAAACACGGCAACTGTCCTTTTGCCTTTTCAATTCTAAAGCCAGATCAGCACGCTCCGTCTACCCTCGATCCTCCTCATGCATGAAGATGCTCCTCTTAAAGGTGATCAAGAGAAATCGTATCTTCAGACACTTATGTGAACACTTTCATACAGTCTTGATGCTGATAATGAAGATGATTACCGTGAGAATGATTACAATATATCACAATGAAATCGCTGCTTACTCTCGTAAGAGCAACTTTCTCGCCCTAGACAGCCCTCGAACTCTGGCCAGAAGCCGCAGAGATCACAAGAATTAAGATCATGTGCAACAAGCCCAAGCTAACTACCCAAACAAGAATAACACCCTAGTACTATTATTACTATTATCACTATTATTACTACCCCTTACTGCTTTACCGTTATTACAACCTTTACAATTACCATTCCTGTTATTCTGGAAGCAGCCTAGGAATCCCTCGGAGACTTCCCGCCTGCACGCCCGCGTAGGTGCCAGCTTTAGCGGGCGTCAGCTCCGGGCAACGGCCCGAGGCAAAGATGGCCATGGTAACAGCAGGATTGAAGTGGGCACCTGCAATAATAGTAAAATAGTAAACAGTAGTACTAATCATAATAATAATAATAGTAATAGTAATAATAGCAATAAAAGTAGTAGTAGTAGTAGTAGTAGTAGTAGTAGTAAGAACAGTAATAATAGTAAGAATGGCAGGGTTGAAGTGGGCGCCTGCCCCAACCGTCTGCTGGTTTGGGGTTTGTAGGGATTATGGGGTGTGGGGATTATGGGGTTTAGGAATTATGGAGTTTATGGATTATGGGGTTTAGGGACTATAGGGTTTAAGGGTTATAGGCCTCTGGAACAGTCTTCGAAATAATGGAACACAAATTCGAACATGAAGAGGCAACTACTGGATGATGCTTGTCTTTTCGGGTACTTTTGTGAAAAGAAGATGGAACATGAAATGGAAACTGGGATGACACATTGGAATTTACGGTCAAGAGCAAAGAGGCTATGGGATGTCAACTGGTTATAGTTCGGAAGTTTTCCTCGACCTAGCATGAAGAGCATGATAACACATGAGAATCAGCCTGCGAGAATAAAACCAGAAGCATGTTGACAGTAGTCAATCTAACTATTGAACACCTCCAATTCTCCAATCGCTGGGGCTCATTCACAAGCGCATGCTTTACATCCTTGCAGATGTTCGCGGCTAGGGGAAAGACTTGGGGGGGTAAGCGCAAACGACTCGTGGCAACACTGCTTTGAAGTGAAAACTGTCGTGACTGTCCAAAGACTTCGTAAGGTTTGCAGAGAACCCACAAGACCCGAACAGATACAAGACGGTCATGAGCCGAGGATCTTTCAATCCACATAGTTTACCACCTCCCAAGCATTCCCTAATGCAAGCGGGTCAGACATATCCAAGAAACGTGTAGTGGCAACTGCAAACGGCATATCCTTGCAGTCATAAAGTCCAGATTTGAGAGCAGCAACAGCGATATGGCCATAAGCGAGAAAAGGCCATCACCAGCCTTGACGACCACCTTGAGAGGTACCCCTGAACTGTATCAGCTCTGAAGCTACTTGAAATGCCTTGAGCGCCTGCTCTACGTGGATCTAACCTACCAATCGCGATAACTCAGCAATCGATAACGGGGGGCACCGGAGACATCGCCCAGAGCATAGATCATGGAGGTGAGGCTGGCAGCGATGGAGAAGGCGGCCGCCTGGAAGAAAGGCAAATCTTATAACACAGCAAGCAGAACAAACAACGCTATTATCAATGACTATGTCTGACTATGTACATTGCAACAGCCGCCAGAGGTAATTAAATGCTTGAAGCAGCAGCATGAAGTTTGCCTTACACAACGCGCAATGCTGTGACAGCAAAAGCATGTCAGCTTACAACAGTAGTATAGCTATACTCAGATCAATAGTCATAGAACAACAATAAGAATGACAGCCACAATCTTAGTAGGCAAGACTGACAAGAGGAACAATAAAAGCAGTAGCCAGCCGTAGCAACAATAACCTGGATTTTTTTCACAAAGGAAACCCTAAACCCTTAACCCTTAACCCTAAACCCTTAACCCTAAACCCTTAACCCTTAACCCTAAACCCTAAACCCTTAACCCTGTGAACAATAACAGAAGCAAGTCGCCTTAGAGCTGCCCAGTACGTTCAAGCCCACGGTGAGCACCAGCCTCTGAGGTTCGAGAGCTTTAGAGTTTTTTGGGGTTTAGGGTTTAGGGTTTAGGCTTCATGGCTGAAATTTGGGAGTTTCCTAAAGTGGGGAGGGGGGGCCCAACATAGACCCTACTATACTGTAATGTCTTTTTTATGGGGACCCGGTACCGCTAATTTTTGGGAAGGCCCCATTTGGTTGACTGCCAAGAATTTGCACATGCCCAAAATTTGCAGGGGGCAATATCCACTTCCATTTTCCAAAGGGAAAGATTTCTTCCAGATTCTGGATCCACCACGTAGCATGTAGGTTCCCAGGAACTCGCTTGCGAGCTCAGTCAGCTGCGACGTTTCACCTCCGAAGTCCTCAGGGCGAACCACCTTGAAGAGGGCTGCAGCCATGGCGGAGCCCAGGAGCTCAAAGATGATGTAAGGCCCACACCATCCAAACCCCACACCGGCGCTGGAGACATCAATGCCCAGGGCCACCGCCGGGTTGAAGCAGCCACCTGAGACCGCGCCCGCGCCATAGGCGCCGGCCAGCACGGTGAAGGCAATGGCCATGCCATAGTACTGGTTCTTCTCAGTGACATTCTTCTTGGCAGCCGCAACATTCATGACTACAAATGTCAGCATGAAGGTGTAAAGTAGCTCGCAAAGCCCGGCATGATACCAGGAGAAGCCCTTGGCAGGGGCGAGGTTGAAGCTCTTGCCGAACCTTGGGTGGAATGCACCCTTGCAGGCCAGAATCTGAAGCACCATTACACCTAAGAGGTACTAAGTGCATCCCCAAGGAGCAGCAAAGTGTAGCAAATGCCAGCAGTAATTCCAGCTGCAGACTGCACGCCCGCGTACTGGCCCACAGTCTTCCAGTCAAGGCCTGGACCTCCCATAGCCTTGGAGATTCCCAGCGTCCTTGGCTTCCAGACCAGGTGGCTGCTGTAGAAGCTTAAGGGATGTTGTGAAGATTCTATATGGCTGTTAGTTCCCAACAGGGGCTATAAAGCGATTTTACGGGGCTTATGTTATGGTAGCATATACACAGAGGCATGTAAGGTGTACTGCCCCATCAAAGGGACAAGAACATGGAAAACCAAATAGAAACTCTGGTCATGTAGGGGGCTAGGGGATAATTACCTATATTATGGTTGTAGATGTCTTGCATAATGAAGGTATCCAGTACCTCAACTGGACTTTGAAATGATACTAATTAATCTTTATGCCCCTACAGTAGATGCATGCTGCAGAGGGGACCCAACGTAGACGATTCCTTGCGAAAGTTGACTTGCAGATAAGGCCACAGGATCCAACGAAACTTTGTATCAGGACCCCAGAAACTTCTAGTCCACTGCTGCCTGCGCATGGATTCCTTGGTGCCCTTGAAATTGATTCAGTGCTATGCAGTGCAGTCCAGTGGCACGGACACGGCTGGGTTGAAGTTAGCTCCTGAAATGCCGCCGAGGGCGTAGATGGCCACCATCAGCACGAAGGCGATGGACACACCTGCCCAGGTAGCCGAGCCGCCCAGGACATTGCAGCCCACCTGCTTTTAATCCGTGAAGTGAGGGTAGTCTCCAGAACCAAAGAAATTGAAAACCTGCTGTGGTAAGCATGGAGGTTGGTGAGAAGAATGGCACTTACAGGGCAAAGTAGCGGTGTTGTTGTTCAGCCCGCTTTGCAAGCAGTGAAGGGCAGGCTTCTTTGGGCTGGCTCGCATGGTACAACAAAAACAACGTTTAAGGTCCGACTGTCAGCTTCCCCATGATACTGAGCTTTCTTCGAGGCATGATAAGCAGAAGGCTCGCACGTTGGAGGAAGCTGCGCTTGTCGTTAAAATCTACAGCTATGACCATCTCCGATGCGGGAAAAGCAATACCTAGATGTTTCGGCGTGATTTCTGCGATGTGCCCCCCACATGGAAGTACAACCACCCATCAATTGTTTAATCGAAAGCCTACGTGCCAAAAAGCCGAAAACCGGCTTGAAAACCGTCGACATAAACTCTAGGGCCCACTCCAGACAAAATCTGCTAAGTCGTGGACTACAGAGGCTGTCACACGAGAGAAAACTTGCCAGAACTAGCCAGAACAATATCTTATTTGCAGCGGAGGTCATAATATGATCCCCATACAGTGACGACCCCAAGGCCCAGAACGAGCAAAAATGCCTAAAAGCCCGAACTCCCTGAGACATCTGAGCTGCAGACTAAAAGCCTAGCATCCTCAATAAGCCCCATAATAGGCCTATACAGTCCCCCATATAACCCACTTGAAGAAGACCATAGCTCATCTGAGACTGCACCCCCCAAAACCTAAAACCTACACCCGCTGAATCCTCAACCCCACAAGCCTAACCCTAAACCCTAAACCCCACAACCCTAAACTCTAAACCCACAACCCTTTTAAACCCACAACCCTAAACCCTAAACTCACAACCCTAAACCCTAAACTCACAACCCCAAACCCTCAACCCCTAGAGGCCCACCGTGAAGACCAGGAGGAAGGTGCCCAGGAATTCCTGGGTTGCTGTTAAGGAACTTAAACTAAGTTACCATAATGGGTATATATAGTAATTAATATGGTTCCCTCTATATAGTAACTTGAATTAAGTTCCTTAAAAGCAACCCAGATTCGGCGGTGAGCTTGGCAGGGAGGCTGGGCTCAGACATGGTTGGCCTCAGAAGGACAAAGCCCGGGGGGTTACATGGGTTTAAGGTTTAGGGTTTAGGGTTTAGGGCTTAGGGTTTCGGGTTTCGGGTTTAGGGTTTAGGGCTTAGGGCTTAGGGTTTAGGGTTTAGGCTTATTTTGGGGGGTCCCCAAATAAGGACTATAATATGTTGGGGGCTGTATTGGGTTCCCCCTATTTTGGGAAAGTGCCATATAGGGATAATGCGAAAGAAAACGGAAGCTACTGAAGCCACTATACTATCTTAGGGGATAATGGAAAAGAAAATGGAAACTACTATTAGGGTTTAGGGTTTAGATTAGATCGAAGGGCGGGCGAATTCAAGGGGGTGGATTCAGGAGTGGGGTTTCAGAGGCGGGGAAGATTTTCAGCTTCAGGTTTCTGCTACTTCGTTCCCTCAAAGGGATGACAAAAAGGGCCCATAATTTTGAGCGGCCCCAAACTACGGCCTGAGGTTTGAGGTTTGCGGTTGTCCGAGGAAAATCTGGATGCACATCCTGTGCTGCGAAAGAGCATAATAACCAATCACCATAAGCAGCTCAACGAGCTGCCTCGAGTGAGGCATCTTTTCTGAATTATACGGATGACATGTTGTTCGAAAGCGCATAAACAACCACAATGGTTCAGGGGGTTCTGCCATGAATTGTGGTTGGCAAGGTCAACCAGCCACCTCCAGCTTGCAGCCTGGGGTGAACCGGGAAAGGATGAGGCCCCGACAGCACAAGGCAGTCTTCAATGAAGGCGGGAACCAGTTTCTCCGAGGTGGGAAATGGCTACGCACCACCACATCTGCCAACGGCACTCTGGCTGCTCATTGAAAGACACCCCCTTGGACTCCCTTCCTAAACCTGTTCAGATTTGCAGCTTGTTCTTTACAAACAACCCTTATGTAGGGCGGATTCAGCTGAAAGTGCTCCTCGATGCCCTTTCAGCAAAGCTCCATGCCATGCTCGCATGGCTTGGCCTCGCCAATAACCGCACACCAACCCCCTTGCAAACGGAGAGAACAGAGTTGGGCGCGCTTTTCCAGTCGATAAATTCATGTCTTGAGATATAGCTGTACATGACTGGAGAAGGAAGCATGGTGAAACGTTGCTCGCTGTGTGACTTCATAACCTTCGCTGGACTGCTAACCACTGTCTCTTGATTTGTGTAGATTCATGCCTGGGCTAATTGGCTTCGAGGAAAAAAGGCCCCTGAAAAGTTACCCAAGCCAAACTGTTGCTAGAAGCTAGGAAACATGGCACCGAGATTTCCAACTGACTGCTCAGGTGAGACTTCGCTGATGTGGAACCTGCTACAGGTACAAGATCCAGAGACGCTGGGTGCGGGCACGCATCATCACACTGTATATGTCAGGTACAAGACCGAGAAAGCCTACAGCCCAAAGCACTGACTCCCATGATTTTGACACAGCTGCTCTTCGCAAACGGCCTTGTGGAAAGGGTCCAGGTGCTACTGGAGAGGCTCAGACCTCACGGATGGTGGATAACAGTGTAGTGAGTCGATTCTCGTGTTCAAAAGTGTCTGACTACTGCTGTTGGCAGAAGAATCAGCTGGGTTTGCAAGCCTGGCAGGTGTTTTCAGCTTGTGCCATGATGCCAGAAAAAGGCCTACAAACCAATGGCTACTGCGCTTTCAGTTTGAAGGGACATTTTGACTAGACACCGTGTCTTAGGGAGCCACATCTTCTTTTTTCATGATGGGTGCAAAACAAACGCACGCTGCGAAGGTCAACAGCTGCTGCACCACGGTGAGTACCGCTGACAACAAATCTTGCCCTGACTTCCTCTGGACAACTTTTCCAGCCCCGCACATCAAAGCGTTGAAGCGCCCCCAAAATGGGAGTCGGACAGCGCTTCTTGTCGGAAGCGTGTTGAGCTTCTCATACATCTCCAACCTGAGAACGAACCAGCACTATTAACAACAATTGTAAAGTAGTGCGAACTGCATAAGGCAGAAGACCTCAGCATCTTCTCTCCTTTTTGCCGGCCCAGGTTTCCTAGACCCACATTCGGAGTATCCTAGGACTGCCCGGAACCGAATCCGGAAAGCACTACGAACTCGGCTGCAGAAAATGCAGAATAGGATGCTGTCCGGAGGCTAAGTAGTCTCAAACATGGTCGTCACTGCGCGCATCTTGAGTCGGATGGGGCAATAGCCTAGGGGCCTGGGGAACCCGGAGCCCCTTGTAACCTCTGTATGACATCCAGCTGAGGTTAGAAGTGCGCCGGAAGTATCAAAAGCTACATGTTCTGCAAACAGGCACATCAAGGCATGGACCCTGCACCAGACACTTCGTGACGGCCCAAAGAAGGGTTTTTAGAATTGAGTCTAGAGTCACTCAGAAGGCAGACAAAGAACGTCCTTGCTTGATGGCAGGCACAGGCATAGGGGTCAAAACAAGGATACGTTTCTGATCCTGCATATAGGCTAAGATATGATGACAACACTATGGTAGCTCTTGGAAAACATATGAACCTAATCAAAATCGGGCACTGCTTCCGTAGCCAGCAGACCTACTTCATCAGAGACTTCACAAGCATTATCATGGGCCCGGGCATCAGAAAAGACAAAGCCATTACTAACAGTGCTGCATTAAGATAAACCTCAGAAACCATGTTAGCTATAGTCTAGACTCCTAGCATCCACCTTCATAATCCCGAAAATGTTCCGCCTATATAGTCCCAGCTATACCTCCCTTGAAGGAGTTAAGACTATGGCTCATGTCAGCTTACTTAGGCTCTTGTGCTTTGGGCTCATGGCGTCCTCTCTTCCGGTCGCGTCAAGACCTTCGGCGGTGGCAGCTCCTCTCAGGGCTTTGAATTTACTATCCATTTTCTTTTCCATTATCC